TTCGGTTGTGCTCGGCTTGAACTGCGTACTTGAGGAACCTAGGGTGAATTATGAACACTAGGTGCGTCACGTAATGGTTTCGTTGATTGCCGATGGAATAACACAGGAGTATCCGCATTTGTTGCAGCACACAAATTGTCACTTTGCTCACAGATTTCTCGAGCCTCAGCAAACGTGATGTCTTTCTTTTCCAACATCTCACGTGGTAGCGAGATGTTGTTGATTCCAGCAATGAGACGGTCACAAAGTTGTTCTTCCAATCGGTCTTCATAGTTGCATTTTGACGCCCGTTTGTTCAACTGGAGAATTAACTGACGGCAAGGCATGTTGGCGGCTCTGATCATTGAGTTGAATTTGGCTCGTCCAGTGGCCTGAAAATCCACTGGGAAAAAGTGGTCCAACATTAGTGGTTTCAACTTCTCGAACGGCAATTCACCAGGAAGATTGGGGAACGCTAGATTCTTCACCAGGGAATATAGCTCTCGGCCGCCCAACGTCAAAAATAGGACCGACTGATTTTGTATTCCTCCTTTCCGGATGCTGCATCATAATTCGAAACGTTCTACCCACTTTTCGACTTCTGATGGGCTTCCGTCCAGGTTCAATGGTTCAATGACAGGAATCTCCATTGCACGACGCCAAATTGTGGTAATCAGAATAGTATTGAATTTAGGAATACGAGAATCCGTACTGTACTGCTCAGAACTGAATTGGCTCCAACCCGAACTGCGGACACCAATGAAATACACGAGGAATTGATAGCAGCAAATGCTTATATTTATTGATGGAATTAGATCATGTTTTATAGAGTGTAATAGTCCATATGATTGGTTGAACGAGCATCCTCTAATCACGTAACCGTTTGCACCGACGTATCATATGTGCTAACTCGGATGTCATGTTCGCACGGTGTACCATTGGTCGAGCTTCCTGAACGGTAATTGCATGACATGAAACTGTACCTGGTCGTGCATGGATTTCGGTCACGGAATTTTGGATAACCACAACTCTCTTCCCTCAAGAGTGCCTCGGCAATCTGGCTTGCCTGACGGCTAGACCTGCGGACTGCAATCGTTGGCTCCGCCTGTTCCTGGCGGTGTCCTTGTGTTTCGATTGGTTATTTTTGCACATCTGACTGATGCGGCTCCGTCGGTTGTGCAGATGGAGTA